GGCACCGTCACCATCCTCTGCATCGACCTGGGCACCGACATGGTGAGAAAATCCACCCCAGGGACCCCAAAATACAGAGAAACCACCCCAAAATCCACCCAAACCACCCCAAATCCACCCCAGGGACCCCAAAATACACATAAACAACCCCAAATCCACCCAAACCACCCCAAATCCACCCGGGGCCCCCCCAAACCCCCCCCGCCCCCCCCCAACCCGCTCTGGCCCCCCCCAAAACATCGGGGTGTCCCCCCCCCGGCAGGTCCCCGCCATCTCCTTGGCCTACGAGGCGGCCGAGAGCGACATCATGAAGCGGCAGCCGCGGAACCCGCGCTCGGACAAGTTGGTCAACGAGCGGCTCATCAGCATGGCCTACGGCCAGATCGGTGAGGGGGGCCCCAGGGGGGGTCCCTGGGGTGCTCCGGGGGGTCCTGGGGGGGCCTGAGGGTCTGGGGGGGGTCACACGGGTGGGGTACGGGGGGTAAAGTGGGGCTACAGGGGTCGTATGGCTCTTGGGTGCCGTTGGGTGCCATTGGGTGCTGTTGGGTGCCGTTGACTCCCCTTGGGTGCCGTTGACTCCCATTGGGTGCCGTTGACTCCCCTTGGGTGCCATTGAGTCCCCTTGGGTGCCATTGCCTCCCATTGGGTGCTGTTGACTCCCATTGGGTTCCATTGACCCCCATTGGGTTCCATTGACTCCCATTGGGTTCCGTTGACTCCCATTGGGTGCCGTTGGGTCCCCTTGGGTGTCGTTGGGTTCCGTTGCCTCCCATTGGGTGCTGTTGACTCCCATTGGGTTCCGTTGACTCCCATTGGGTGCCGTTGGGTTCCGTTGAGTCCCCTTGGGTTCCGTTGGGTTCCGTTGACTCCCATTGGGTTCTGTTGGGTTCCGTTGAGTCCCTTTGGGTTCCGTTGAGTTCCGTTGACTCCCATTGGGTGCTGGGACCCTCCTGACCCCCCCCTGTGGCCCCCCCAGGGATGATCCAGGCCCTGGGCGGGTTCTTCGCCTACTTCGTGATCCTGGCGGAGAATGGATTCCTCCCGTCCTGCCTCGTCGGGATCCGCCTGCGCTGGGACGACCGCACCATCAACGACCTGGAGGACTCCTACGGGCAGCAGTGGGTCAGTCTGGGAGGGAGGTTCACCCCAAAAATGGGGCACTCCAAAAAAAACGGGGCACCCCCCAAAAAAACGAGCGGCGGGAACCCCCCTCGAATTCCTGGGAAAAGGCAGAAATTTGGGAGAGGGAGAAGCTCCGTTTCCTGGCGACCGCCCGGAGGGGTCTTAAAGGGCTCCCCCCAAAAAATGGGGCTCCCAAAAAAGGGGGCGCCCCAAAAATAGGGGATGGGAGCCCCCAAAATCCCTGGGAAAGGCTGGAATTGGGGGGGGAGAAGGAGCAGAAATTTGGGGGGAAAGGGGTGTCT